ACCGTCAACCTCGAAAGGCACACCGTTAAGACGCGGTATGAGCAGAATTGCAAGTGCGAGGAAAGCACGTGCACAGATATGCCCTTACACCGAGTCATGCAACCGCAATCCAGCGTCGAGGGCAGCGCGACGCGCCTCTCCTCGGAGCCGCGATTTGCGGTTGTAATTTCTCAAATTCGTACCTCGAGGAGCTCCTCGCCGGTATTTCGCGCTTCGGTTGAGCTGAGAATTTTTCCCTTCAGCCTACCAGCGAGAAAATCCCCGCAGGGTGCTCGGGAATTATTTCCACCGGGCGTATCAAAACCGCCTCTTCGGGCTAGACTGCCGTAATTTAGATAAAGCAAGCTGAAAAACCGAGGGGAATTATTAATAGTACTTTGCGTCCACGTTATTGCGATGGATTTCCCGAGAAGAATTATCCTCTAGGAAAGACTAGTGCTCTTGAAGATTAGAGAATGAAAAAATAAACTATGCGTTCTGTATGTGCGTAGGCGGTGGATTTCGCAGAAGGAACGAGGGAATTCCCGGGGCCGAATGCCGTAGGCACTTTTCTCCTTTTTCCCAATTTTCGGGGATTTTCTAAACGACCCGGGCCAGCTTCGTTTATCTTTGGCCTCTCATTGTCGAAACGAGGGCATCTCCGATTAAGCGCACGATCATCCCAAGGGAAGCATTATCCTAAATGCACTCTTGCGCCGTTAAACCGCCCGCTGCGAAATGTCCCGAGACTTCGATGCACGCGAGGTAACGAGCGAAGTCTAAGGCGCGTTTTAGCATACCGTGGAAACGGGAAAAACGTAGCGGCCCGTAAGGGAGAAAGAGCGCGATAAAAATTTCTTTACCGGCGATAAGCGTAGCGTAAAGCAAACGTTAGAGTCGCGCCCGGGGCCGCGGTAAAAGAACGGTTTTGCGCCCGTTGGAAGCACTTCTACCGTTTCCGTTTCGCCTTGATCTTCTTACTTTTGCACCCCGCGAGTTGATAATTACACCTTGAATCCGGCAGCAACGCGATTCCAACCCCAACTTACATAGAAATCTTGTCTCCATCCGCGTTTCGCGTTTCCTCCGACCGGCTTCCTCTTTTCCTTTCCTTCGATCAATTTTAAAATCGCCTTTCCGGGGCTCTTCGTACCTCCTGTTTGTTCCTTGCGTTCGTTTGCTTTAATTTATCAACCACCTCCGAGGGTGCGATATTCCATTTCCAGCTTGTACTTCTGGGGGGAGGGCGAAGTTAGGGCAAACTTTCCAACTTACGAATGCACCGCCACTAATCTTCCAGGGAATTGCTAATTTCTCGCTTCGGAGTGCACGCACGCTGACGGAAAATACAATCAAAGTCCGTTTCCGGTGCGACACCTCCTTCCCACATGGCGCTGTAAATTTCCCTCACTCTGCCAAGAGCGGAAATATATTTAACTTTTGCCTAAACCAAAGGGCAAGATTCGTTGAGGTAAAATGGTCTTACTAGAAAGAATTGTCGCGAGGGTGCAGCGTGCAGCTCTCTTTGACATGTTAATTCTCTTACTAGACCTGTTGCACGAAGTACCTATTTGCATTGGATAAAATAAGTCGGAAAGCTAAAAGGTACTTTCATCCGCAGGACTCTTGTATTTTCGATAATTAAATTTCAATTGAAAAATGAAGTTTACAAGAGCTCGCCAACGATTCGATATACATGTATACCTGTGAGGGATTGTTACATTCCACTGTTCTTTGACGAACAGAAATTGCCGTGTGCCGAAGTGTCACTTAAAACTCTTCATCATCAGGGAAGTCGTCGCGGAATTCAATTACGAGCTGTACTTAATTAATTAATTTCGGACGACGTTCCGATCCGAAAAACGGAGCGAACTGTCCGAAAGAATTCGATAGAAAATAAATTTTCTTCCTATTTTTTTATAATTCTAATGTCGGAAAATGGTGTCTCTTTAATGCATACTTATGACGTCACATAAATAGAAGCACTTTCAAATTCGATATTCGAATTAATCAGGATATGAAAATTAAATACAATCATTTAAACGAATGAGAAATATTGAAAATACTTGCGGATCGCATTTTCTCATTTACTGTATATCATTTAAAGTAGGTACTTGTACAATTCGATTTGTTAATTCGGCCCACCGCATACGCTAACACTTTACACTCCTACTCGTAGTATTTCAATTATGCAATCAGTGCCCTGATCGGTCCATCGCGAATTCCAGGACAGTAATTTCGACAAAGCAGAATTAGTTAACTGTAAGTTGATTTAAGCTCCGAGTGTACCATTCTGTACACCATTACATTCGTTAAATAATTACACCGTATGCGCAATATCCAGGGCGACAGATGTTACACTAATTACATCGGTATTGTTAGGGAGGAAAGAATTAACCATCCCATCAATCAAGGACTGTGCTTGACCGTGATAACATCCAACAGCAAAAGATAAATATACATATTTATAATTAACATTGTTTGTTAAAAAATAACCAATCTCTGGAATATACGTTTATTGACGACCGATCAATTATTTCCAAGCTTTGTTCTCGGCATCGGCATCTGTCTTGCGTTTCGATGTCCACATCAAATTAGTAGATTTTATCGAGCCGGATAAATCCCGTCAATTAGTGATAACGATTCCATTCAATTAAACGCAGGATGATATCGTTGCATTATTAATGAGTGGGGCTTCGATTCGGGGAATTCGATTCCGAAAAGAAACCGTAACAGGTTCCTCCTCGGATGCAAGGATCTCGATTCGTTACGAAAACGATCGATCGATTACAGAAAAAACAAATCCAGAAGCCTAGATCGCCGAAAAAGATCAAGTTCTATAGTGTTTGTTTCCCGACAAAAAAAAGAAAAAAAAAGTTGATCATTCAATTACGCGTAAAGAATTCTGTATAAATTAAATCCTCTTTATTGAAATAAACAGCCAGTCAATGGAAGTAAATCGATCTAAGAAAATGATGAGTGAGCTCTTTTCATCAAGGTGTAATCTACAGGATACGTTAATTTCAATTAATCGTAAAATAATGTAAGGCTCCTTTCTTCGTCCGTCTTGATAATCGGAGTTCCACGGTTACTGCGACTTGGCAAGTGCTCGGGGCCACTTATCGTCCATCTCTGCGACCCGTAACAAATTTCATCCCCAAGGGGAGGCTCGGCGATTTCTTACTTACAAAACTGGCAGTGTTTCCATCGGAAAGTTCGCAGCATCTTCTTGTGGGGGGCGAGACGAAAGTTCCCAGATAGGCAGCCGCCGGTCCTCGGTAACTTCCCGTCAAATTAAAAACTCCCCGAACTCGCGGATAAAACTCACTTTATACCCTTAACATGCGAGCGGTGTTATCAATCACGGCACATGCGCCGCGCGTCGCAGGAGACTGCGACAAAAATATCTGAAAAATTCCAAATCACTGTCAGAAAAAAAAAAAACAAAAAACAGAAAGACCGTCCGTTGTCTCTTACGGATTATTCCTTGGCACTGGAAATCTCCCGAAGGGTCCCCGGGTCTAGGGATAATCGCGTTCGATTTTTCCGTCTCGGTCGATTGATATTATCTTTTTCTATCGATCCGCTTAGTGGCGAGGACTGTCTCGTTGGATCTTGCGGCTCGATTGTGGTGTCCGAAAAGCGAGGACAGGGCAAACGCGTCCGAGACACGCGCACGTCGCGACGGTACTGGGGTTCTCTGCTGCAACCCCTCTGGACGCCCGCTCGACTGCGGCCCCTCTGCCGGGGTGAACCCACCCCCGTGGCCGCCGGTGGGGCACTACTACGTAACGGAGCAGGCTTCGATGAATGAATGGTTCATACCGATCTGGAAGGACAAAGCGCCCTTTTGAGCCCTTCTGTTTCACTCGCCGACGCTTGTCCGCGCGTATCCGGAAAATCGGCGGTTTCATTGTTTGGAAGGAACGCTTCTCAGCAAATATCTTGATTCTCGTCCGCCAAGGATGATTTCTAGGGACACGAATGTGTAGTTAGCACGATTATTGGGGTGAAATCGGATAGAATGACGGTTTTTGTTATTAAAAAGAATATACTGGACGTGGGGTCGAAGGTGGAATAATTAATGCTTCTAATATCGTGATCGAGGTAGAAGCTGGCTGGGTTTTCAAATTTTCAGGATTTATTTAGAACTTCATATGGTACCGTTACCTCGTGTTGGGAATATCGTGTAATATCGATCGCGTATCGCTTGGGATTCATTATAAGGATTTGAGGTTAGAATAGAAACTATCTTATCGGATGTAGGAGTTTGGTGGGCTTACTGGTGGTTGCATTTTGTTGAGAGAGTTAGGCTGGAGTCAGACTGAGTGCGTCGGGTGTCGGACTGATCGTGGTGCGTCAATATGTACACGATCGAAAATTATCAGAGCCCCGCTTAACCATACGCGTTACTTGCGTCACAGTTTTAATTAGTTTCTCATCCTCGATTGGCCGTTGCGTTGAATCGTCATGCTCTGTGTGACATCTGACGCGTTGAGTGGGACACGGGCCTTGAGTCGAGAGTTGATAGAGTAGTTCAGGTTAGCGTTTTCACCGCGAGATGGCGACACCATGACTGGCCAGCTGCAATATTTTACCTAATGAAGATATAAAACAGAAGCGTATTTGTATCACGAAATGATAACGGATATTTAAAGCTCCGTTTATTTACGAACGGTAAATTGTGCCGAAGTACTTTTCTGTCTTATTGACACGTGGTGTAAAATTTTAGAAATTTAGTGGAACTTGCTCACGATGCTTGTATGTACCGTATTGAATTTGAACTTATTTGCCGTACCGTACTTATCACCCTCTGAATTTGTACTTACGCTGTATAAAATTCACAGTAGGTAATACAAGGTGATTACAGTACTTAGGCTTCTAGAAGGATTGCAGTCGGACTGTTAGCTACTGCTTTTTGATTCAGTGCTTTTGCTGTTCTTTCAAAGATGGCGCGTATTTTAAGCGTGCTGTTTATACTTCAGAAGCATGTGATGTCGAGCCGGTTCTTTTTATTGTATTTAGTTGCATCATAGGAAAATATAATGAACAGTATGAGCTCTGCATCCACAGTGAGAGACTCAATGCGTTTCATTTTCCCAAATATTCATTATTTTGCATCGATTTCATGTCACAAACTACTTTGGAGCGTAAGTAAACTGATGACGCCAGAGGTTAGTATTTTGATGCTGGCGATTTTTCAACTTTCGTATGTTCTACACTAGTCAGAATTCTAAAGTAATTACAAACGAATAAATGTATCGAACTAAATTTAATAACTGTTTTGTTTATTAGATTAGATAACAAAGAAGAGTGTTCCAATGAAGAAAATGAAGTGCGGCATCATTTCACCTGGATCGGAGCAGGCAAGATTATTTCGGGCAGCATATTTTTGATGTTTAAAATACGAAAGGAACGAGTAGCGACAAGAATAGCTTAGAATCATCATCGTAAGCTGTTCGGTACTTATGAAATATCGATATTAATTTTGTAACTCAATTCGTATCAAATAGGCGATATACTAGAATTTAAATGTAGGTGAATTTGGCACGCCATGTTACGACGCTACATTGGATAATAGTCAGATCAGAACTCTTCATGACAGTTGTTTCGCTGGATCGGTTTGATCTATTGCACTGAAATAGAGAATCGACGTACTGAACTAATCTCAATAAGTTTGTTTGACAAATTATGCGTTTATGACGCCAATGCAATATATGTATGTGAACGGTACGATGGTTAGAATCTTGATGCAATTCATACCGTGCCTGCAGCTAGACTCGGCACATAGTGCACATAAATCACGTACCTGTATTGGTTGTCTCATGTAATTTATATACGCTCCGCTTGACGGTGCGCGTGGTAGGTACGTAGATATACTTTTGCAGCCACGGTAGGCACAGGAATTACCATAACGCATGCTGCTCCGAAATGCAAGGCAGAGACTCCGTGATGTTGCGATGAGAATATTCCTCTAGTTGGGGGACGAATCCTGGAAGCTGAACCGTTCACCGGGATTCCTATTGATCCTGCTCGCAGAGCAATCCTGAATTATTGCGATACCGCATTCGTCCGAGACTCGCTTCATCCTTGCTCGGTGTTTTACCGCTGGTACGAAAGTCAATTTTCGATTATTCCAGGTAGATATATACACGTACATATATCTGTGAATTCTAGCTTCACGGCTCATCGTACATCATTCTACCTGCGATAAACTACGGATTGCTCCTCCGATACTTGCAGGAACGCAACGAGCTCGGATGAAGGCGTTTATAAATGGCGGTAGTACACGGAAAAAGAGGATAGAGTATTTAGTACGCAACGCTCGTCCAACGTCGATTACGATACATTCGGGCGAATATATTGCGAAAATTGGGAACGTTTCATAGAACTAGAAGGTTGAGCTCTCTTTGTTTAAATGACAAGCAATTTATTAATTATCATTTAATTACTTTTTCAGTTGCAGAAGCCTGAAAAAGTATTTCTTTGCCCTTTCCAAGCGGTCCTTTATCCTGCGCCCGAGACTCAAGTCCAAAGGAGTTTCACGATCCGTCTCTGTAAGTTCGATTCGGATTTCAAGGGGGATACTTAGTCCATGCTAATAATTGGCTGTTCGGGACTCTCAGGGGGGATTCTGTGTTCTTGATGGGCTTTGTTAGTGGAATAGTTGTTTGTATGTTGCAGGGAACTGGAAGTGGCCCAGGGCCGAACGGTTACCTTGGCGAGCGACGGTTCATCGTTACACGCAGCTTCCTCCAGCCATGAAACGTAATTCGATCGTTCCACGGAATTTCTCCGTTCAGGTGGAATCTCTCAGCGATGCTCCCGTATTACCCCACACGGGGGTGGTTAAAATAAGGGAAGGTCGCGAGGGTGAGTTTCATTTGCGGCGAGCTAACCACCAAAGGCGAAGCTGGTCCCGAGGGGGTGTTTCAGCCCCCGCACTTGCTAGCCAGCGTTTAATCGGTCCACAAATTACTCCACCTCTTTCGCATCCCATGCCAGATCATTTTTCGCATTCGGCGTCCCCTTTCCATCCGCCAACGCCCATTCGAGAGAACAACCTTTGTCGTTAACCCTGGCAATCCACCGTAAAGAGAACGACCAAATATTTCCCTTACCGTATTCGTTGCTGTACCTATTAAGAGGATCTCAAACCAAGGTTTTATCACCTCGGGTCAGTTCAAGTTCAAGATGTCGTAAGTTCATGTGTCGTTAAGTCGTTATTGTCAGTGCTCCTGACGGGTGTTAACTATTTGCCTTATCGCAAGGTTAACTCGTTGGTGGGTTATCAGTGGAGTAACAGTGCCCAGCTCTAGGACGTCGTATTCGGAGACATTAACTAACCACCGCAGACCAGTAACGTCCCTAGGCCGTTATAGATAATTGCACTCTGACGACGGCTGCAAGTGCCTTCTGGAATATCGCACCGCAGATTTTACCCGCTTGGTAATGGAAATTATTCCGCTCTACTTGCGGTTGGCCGACCCTCCATGGGTTTCGTGCATTTGGTGGCTCGAAGGAATGACGAAGATTTCGGATTAGATACGTGGACACTCGGTGATCCGGAAATGCACTAATAAATAATCTTCAAATCTTGGTGTTCGTTAGTTAAATATTTTGTGCCATTTATGGCGGTGGAAGTAAATAGCAAAAATGATGGGGGTTAAAGTTAGGCGAATCTTGGTAGGTTTCGTGTATTACCTCGAGTAATAACGTGTAATGTAAATGTGCAGCCTGCAGATGCGACATCGTGCTTAATCATCAGGTCGGGGATTCAGGCCTCGGGGTGACAGCGACCCCGAAGAAAAAGGTCCTACGCGACCGCAACTAAATCAGATAAATTGCGTAACATTCCGAGTCGTCGGCGATAAATTCACGATTACTGCCATTACATGAATTACCGCCGCGGAGAGGAATTTTAAGCTCCAGGGGATAAATTAAGATGCGATCAGGAAGGGATTAACGTGCCATTGGTTTCGGCGATTAAGATCGCAAAATTATCAGGTTGAATAACGAACCCGTAATTTGATCAAGTGTTGCACGTGCATTTTCGTATTTTAGGAATTACTGGAAATACTTCCTAATTTAAATAATTAGATTCACGTGCAATGTCGTCGCCGAAGGGCCAGGGATCGATCCGATTTTTCTTGAATTTCTAGGTAATAATTATATATGTATAGAAATTTTTGCAACGCGATGGAACGGTTTTATCTTGAAAGAGAAAGATGGGAAATGTATCTCGTTTTCGCGTCAGCTTACATCGGGAGGGAAGGGTTTTCTCCTCGGATGACACTGAATAATGGGATCGATAAGTTAATGCTCGCAATGTCGGAAAGCCTGCTCGCGCTGTTCGCCGTAAGTCACGCAGTTGGCAAGACGAGCTTTCCGGGGAAAACAATTACGGCCGTGTGGCCGAGGGCAGGACTGGCGAAATTTCAGCCGGTTCTTTTTGCCTGGCCGCCTAAAAATGACGGCAGCCTCTGGCTTCTTCCCAGAGCAACGACCACGAGACTTAATGCCACCGCTCTTTCCAGGCTAATCGGATGAAGGATCTTTCGGAGACGAACGGCGACCCGAGGAGTCTTCATTGCGGAGTCGTTTGCCTGCCGGCGAGCTCTTCTCTTCTCGTGGGATGGCTTTTAAAGGGAATCGGATTGTCGATCATCGATCGCCTCCTTCGAGGGACCACATGAAAGTTTTGGGTAAAAGCCTTTTGCAATTGTTGATTAACTCTTTTCACGCGATATAGAATTTATATCGAATTTCAGGATCCACCTGCCCCCTGCAAGGAAGGACCGAAACGTCCATTGCACGTTGCTGCAGGACCCGAAACGTTTATTGCAGGATGCTGCAGGACCTGCAATGCTCATTGCAGGCTGCCGTAAAATTCGCGGAAAGTACACTCAGAGTCGCGCCCAGTGAATTCTTCCTCGGGCGAAACTTCGCCCTGGAACTTTATCATTCCCGCGAAACTGTTAATTTCTGGAAGTAGTAATTCGGGGAAAAGACAAACGAAGTTGCGCGCTTATTTGCCGAGGCCCTGCGGGGACGTCCTCGGGATGCCGAAGGACTGATGAAGCAATTCCTCCCGCAGCGGACAATTGGAGGAAAAAGGCAAAAGGCGACTGGCGAAACGCAACTTCCACATTTCCAGGGCCGGCGGTCGGTCTCGATGGTAATGAGAAATTTGCGGGTGGCATTCCGGGGGTGCTCGAAATGGGAATGTGTCCCTGGGATCGGGAATGGGCATCGACATTCGCGGCAGGATTTCGCTGCATCGCGGTGCCCGCAGTTGAGCCGATAAGCCAAACAGCGATTGGAAGAGGGAGCCGACCTTTAACAAGGATCCGGAAGTACCCCCGAAACTTTGTTTAAGCAGGGCAGGGGCCACCTCGGAGTGGGAGGAAAAAAATATAACTAAGAGCAAGTAGGCCACCAGACCGAACTTCCTGGTCGCCCTCGTTCTTTTCTCTCTGGGTCCAGTTGTTAGCCTTTTTACCGGGCAGGATATTGGGATAGGCGAGGGGTAGTTGGATCCAGTTAAAGCTTTACTTTTCAATTTCCTTCTCCCTTAACTCGGCGCTAAGTTTCCCGGCAAGTGGTTTCGAGGGATCGATGTTTACCCCATCGCGAGGCACAATTAAAAGCCGTCGAACCCTGGACGTGTACTCGATGCACTCGGGTTTGATTGCAATTGGGATTTCGGCCTTATCGCGCGGTTCTGGTCGGTCCTTTTTTCCCCTCGGGGGAAGATTGCACCTCTCGATTATCCCGGAACCTGGGGAACCGGTATCCTTCCTCCGGCAGCGACATCGGAGACGCTAGACCTTGTAATTATTCGATTTACTTCGGTACACGAGACCTCGGAGACGCGGAAAAATTTAATTTAACCGGGTGTACGTCATTTACGGGTTGACCGTATCTGCTGTCCGCGGGCGGACGCTTAATTGCGTTTCCCCGAGACGGTGGTCGGGGTGCAGCTTCCTGCAATTTTGTCTTTCTAATTTCGACGGAGAAACCCGGGAAACGTTGCGCCAGCTGATAGGGTGCCTCGAGAGACGTTCTTTCTCGGCGGACAATGTTTCTTTAAACGGGGATGGAAATTGTTACCGCAAATCGAGGCTTTAATCTGTGATTTATTCTCTCTTATCCACTCCCGAATTTAAGTACACGCTTCTCGTCAGGATATATTCAATGATCTGAGGCCAATTATCGCAAAATGACCATCGTCTATCCCTTTAAATATTAACGTTAAATTAAACTTCATACGATGTTATTTATACCTAGATGATACTTATTACGTAGATACGTGCGTGTCAGTCAGGCTATCTCGTGACTGAATTTTGTATGCACTTCACATATCTCCATTCGGTACGTAAGCGCAACTCACTTGCGTTATCGCTCCAAGTACCGACATAAACAATTCGGGGGTGCAGAACGTATGGGTATATACGAGCGTGCGTGCGAAGTCGACGTTTCTGATAACATTAGTAGGCGTTTGTAACTTTCACAGTAACTCTGAATAGCAAAGTTCCATGAGCGCGCATATACGGTGAGAGGACTCTCGATCCCTTCATTGTTAAGCTCGCAACGTCGAGCTCTGTTGAGGTATCCATACATCCGAAATAATTTCGTTGAACCCTCGAAGTGGCATGCACGTTCTCCGTCGATTATTCGAAAATTCAAAGAGTCCGTACCGCTGATGAACACTCTCGGCTCGGAGCGCGAGAAAGGCGATATAACACTCGGAACTTTGCTCTCTGAGTCGCGTTAACGACTCGTTATTTCAACGGTGCCGCCAATTTGTAATTTCGCGCACTTTGCTTGGTAGTTAAGCACGCATCGTGGCGTTAATAAAGGGCGGAAAGTGTCGACATAGATCCATTAGAGACCCGAGATTCTTGTCGCTTTTAACAAGGTCGCGTTTGAAGCCCGAACTATGTCGATCAAATTAAAATTGGAAAGTGTAACGAAAGGGAAGTTCGTTTCGAGAATCATTAAATGGAACTTTCTTTACAGTATTTTAAATCCCGGAATTTTGCTTTTGATTCGAATGGGTGACGAATCCGTAGAGAGATTGGCGAGGGAAAACGAAATGGGGGGGCTTTCGCAATGCTTTTTGAGTAATGACCAATGGCGTATTTCGCGGTAACGCGGTATCAGATTTCTGGGTAAATTTGAATAATCGCGATAGTCGAAGGGCGGCCCATCTAAATCCGAATTAATTGTCCATTTCGAGCGAGTGATAATGGCCCCTGGTACCGGTTGAGTAACGAGATCGCCGAGGGCATACGCGCATTTTTGCGGATCGGTGGTCGCGGATAAAAAATTCATCTGCGACCATGTGCGCTTTGATTCCTTTTTTATATCGGTTATTCGATTAATTCCAGACTTACGTCCCCCTTTTATGCGAATGAACGCGGCTACACGGTAATTTTTAAAGCAATAGAAAGAACACGAGGCAGAAGCGCCTCGAAAATCCGCGAAAAGTTTCAACCCGTGCGCCATTCCGAATGAATTAAAGGCTTTCTTTTCCCTCGAAAAAAGAAAAGCTCTCCAGGCGACAATGGGATCTAAACCTGAAGTAATTGCTCATTCCGCCATAAAGGCCGTGTACAATGGCCGGATAACAGTCTCGCCCGGGCGTTTATACATTTAAATATTCCCCCAACTTAGGGGGGAGGAAAAAAACCTCCTACAATTAATCCACTCGCTTATTCGCGGCTTCTGCAAAATCCAGGAAATTCGCAATTTTTATTCGCAACTTTCTGCGAACTATGTTCAGGTGAACCGCGAATACTCGGCTATGGTTTTAAGCTCTGTCTGGATTTAACCATGTTTTCCTTATAAATGAAAACA